CATGGTTGTTGTGGGTAAAGCATAGTTGTGATAAAAGAATTGAATGTACTGAAAAATCCTTTGGAAATGAATGTTAGGTTACAAAGGAGACAGGTGTCTGGCTGGCTCAGTAGTAGAGCATTGACTCTTGATCTTGGGGTCATGAGTTTGAGCCCCATGTTGGGTATAGAGATTACTTTTAAAAATGTAGAGTTAATGGCACAGAACAGATCATCCATACAATCATTATCCATAGATGATGTGGAAAGATGGGAGGAACTGAGATGGAGAAGATTAGCCAAGTGCTAATATTTTAGATGGATGGTGGGGAAATGACCAGGAAAGTTGGTATATGACAGCAAGCAGTAGGGCGGAGGGTAATGAGCTTAAATGGAAAAAGCCTAGTGGAGAAGGTTTTTATAAGATGGTGGAGAAATGGAGGTGGCAATAGTAAGCTAGAAAGATACCAACACTACCTTCTGGTCCTAAGGTGCATAAGCTTTGTGAAAGTAAACAGCCACAGCCACTTATAAGAGCTTCAGGTCTTCTCAGGAAAGACCCAGATTTCATTAAAGGCAAAGAAGTAGAGGAGTACTCAGGCAAGAGATTGAAAATATGAGGATAGGTGTTGCTGGCTATGGAGCAGCCATTCTAGAAAGAACAGCAAAATAGTTTGGGAGGTGAAGAAATAAGTGGTTAGTTCGAAAGTAAGGAAGCAGCAAGTACAATAGAAATTTAACCTATGCTGTAACTGACTACAACGGAATGAGAAGCATGAAGGATCAGGTCTCAACAGTCTTTCTGAGAAAGGCAATCATCAGTCACAGTAGCCAGAAGACTTAACTCACTTGACTGAGTTGATGGTGGATCCAGAACCTATAGATAAAACTAGCTACTGGATGAGCTTCCATTTATTAAAAGAATATTATGTACCAAGTATTATTTGTATTGATTTCACTTAAACCTTACAAAAGTCTGTGAGTTAAGTATAACTATTCTAAATTTACAAATTGAAAACAGAGGCTTAAAGAGACTAACATAGCAAAGCCAGGATCCAAAATTTAACAGAGATTGCTACCAGTGGCTCATGAACTGTAATAGGCTGGAAACATAATTTGAATGTTTTGTTTGGCTCTCACATTCTCAAAGGAAATACGTATAGGTCAGTAGCTAGAAGAGTTCTATCTAGACCACCTTACTTGTTTTTAATGTTATTGCATTACTCCTGTGGGCATCTAAATTTGCTAGCCTTATTTAAACTAAATGGGTCTGACTCCATATTTTATGTACTCGACAGTATTTAACAAGAAAAGGCAGATTCCATTTTCAGCCATGACAGAGTAACCACCCTAAACAAATCTAAAATTAGAAGAAATATATAAGGCAACTGCTTTCAGGTACTGAACCACAAGCAATGTAGGATCATGATCCTTAAGAGAAGGAAAATGCAGATGAATGACATATTTTCCCTAGATTTCTGCCTGGAGACAATTTCCAGATGACTGAGTAGAGAGGTGAAGTCCAAGCAGAGCACAGCAGTCTCACTGAGCTAATGAGGTAGGAACCAGAGTTTGGAGCTACTAAGGCAGCTGGAATTTGCATCATGGTTCAAGAGAAGTAATTGCACAGAGGAGGGGTCCTGAAGTCTGCATGGGGTGCCCAGTGGGTTACTGGACAAGGCTAGGCTATATATTCACAGGATGAGACTCCACAATGTCCAGCAAAGCATAGATAATGCAGGGCTGAGGGTTGACTGGAGGCAAGAGAGATCATACAGAATTGAGAGATATGAGATTCCTAGTCCAGCCAGTGTGGAGATGCCTTATTAAGAATGCCATAAATGTCATGTCTTAGAAACAAGGACCATAACCTTAAGTAAACACCACATTCTAAGAATAAGAAGAGCAAGGGTCAAAAATACTTGAAAACATAATGGTTAAAAATTTCTAAAATTGGTGACAACCATAAACCTTCAGATCTAAGAAACCCAGCAAACTCCAAGTAGTATAAACTAAAAAAAAATTTAAATCAAACCTGGTATATTACAGTCAAACTACTACAGAGAAAACTTTATAGGAGCTATAGAAGAAAAAAGGACATTAAATACAGAAAAACAAGGGTAAAAATGATGTCTGATTTTCTATCATAAACTATGGAGGATAAAACACAAAGGAATGTCATCTTAAAATGCTAAACAAACAAAAGAAGCCTACCTAAAATTATTTAACCAGTGAATATATCCTCTAAAAACAAAAATGAAATAAAGATATTTTCAGATAGAAGAAATATAAGAGAATTTGTATCCCGACCTGCACTATAAGAAATGCTAAGGTAAAGAAGTTTTTTAGACTGAAGGAAATGACATATCAGAGAAAGAACTGTGTTGACACAAAGGAATAAATAACACTGTGAATGATATATATTTGAGCTAATATAAAGACTAGCACTTTTTCCCCTTAATTTCTGTGAAAGACAATTGACAACTAAAAGCAAAAATAATGGCATTGTGTTGTAGGGTTGATATCATATATACAGGCAAAATATATGATGACAACAGCAAAAAAAAAAAAGTAAAGATAAATGGAATTATTTTACAGAAAACAACTCCATTTACAATATTATCAAAAAATAAATTAAATACTTGGGAATACATTTCTAAAAAGAAGTTCAAGATTTGACCACTGAAAACTACAGCACATCATTAAAATGAAAGGAAAGACATTCCATGTTCATGGATTGGAAGACTTAATATTGTTACAAGGGAAATTCTCTACAAATTGATCTACAGAGTCAATGAATTCCCTAACACAATCCCAGTTGCCTTCTATTTTTGCAGAAACTAACAAAATGATCATATGAAAATTCTAAGAATTCAGAATAGTCAAAACATTATAAAAGAACTACAAAGTTGGAGGACCCACACTTCCTCCAGTTTTAAAACTTACTACAAAGCCATAGTAATCAAAATTGTATGACACTTACATTGGCATAGACATACAGATCAATAGAATAGAATTGAAAGTCTAGAAATAAAGCTATAAATACATTTATGGCCAATTGATTTTTTTTTTTTGAGTGCCAAGACAATTCAATGTGAAAGAATAGACTTTTCAACAAATATTGCCGAGAGAACTGTACATTCACATACAAAAGAATGAATTTAGACCACTACTTCACACCACATTAAAAATTAACTCAAAACAGATCACAGACCTAAATGTAAGAGCTAAAACTATAAATCTCTTAGGAGAAAGAATAGCACAAGTCTTCATGACTTGGATTAGGCAATGAATTCTTAGATATGACACTAAAAGCTCCAAAAACAAAGAAAAAAAACCCACATAAATTACACTTTATAAAAATGTAAAACATATGTGCTTCAAAAGACACTAGCAAGAAAGTGAAAAAATCCACAGAATGGGAGAAAACATTTGCATACCATATACCCAATAAGGGACTTGTATCCAGGATACATAAGCACTCTCACAATTCAACAAATAACCCAACTGAAAAAATGTACAAAGGATTTGAACAGACATTTCTCCAAAGATAACATATAAATATGCCAATAAGCACATGGGAATATGCTCAATGTCATTAGCCATCAGGAAATGCAAATAAAAACCATAATGAGATACCACTTCACACACAATAGTATGGCTATAATTTTAAAAAATACACAATAACAAGTGAGGATATAGAAAAATTAGAACGCTTGAACATTGCTGGTGGGGCTGTAAAATGGTGTAGCCACTTTAGAAAATAGTTTGACAGTTCTTCAAAAATCTAATCATATGATCCAGAAATTCCACTCCTAGGTATATGACAAGAAAATTGAAAATATATATTCACACAAAAACTTGCATGCAACATTTATAGTAGAATTATTCATAATGGCCAAAAAGTGTAAATCATCCCAAGTCTATCAACTGATGAATGGATAAACAAAATGTGGTTTATACACACAATGGAATATTATTCAGCCATAAAAAGAAATGAGGTACTAATATATGCCTCAACATGGACAAACCTTGAAAACATTATGCTCAGTGAAATGGATAGGGAGCTTCTTTTAGGAAAATGAAAATGTTTTAGAATTAATGGTGATGTTTATATAACTCTCTGAATATATTAAAATCCACTGAATTATACACTTAATGGGGGTAAATTTAATGGTATTTGAATTATATCTCAATTTTAAAATTGGAGAACTTTGTAGTAAGATGTAAAATAAAGGCTGTTTTCTTTGGGACAGGAAAACTCCCTAAACTAATCCATAAAATTCATGGAGGTCCAAAAAAATCTTAATAGGACTTTTTTTTCACTTGACAAAATGATTGTAAATTTTTTTTGAGAAAATAAACATGAAAGAATCATCTTCAAAAATCTGCAAAATATTACAAAACTTAAGTTGTTTGACATTGAATTAGCTCTCCTAGATGTTATTTGTGTGTGTGTCCAAATACTACAACGTCTAAAGGCATATGCAGAGAGATATTTTTCAATTTTCCATTTTTAAAATAATGCAAATATATTAATTTTAAAATAATAAAACAGTAAATCAAGCAAAAAAAAGAAAATTAAAAAATAAATAATCTATGTAGCTCCTTCTCCACTATTAGTTTATTCTATTTTAGGCTAAAAATCCCTCTCCAATGTATCTGCATCTGCATAATTTCAAGTCACTTTTTCAGCCTTGTTGATTTTCTCTTAATATAGGTTAATTTATGAACAGCCTCCCTAGAATTTGGCACCTAACCTGAATACATTCAACGTGGACTTATTGGCACACAATAAACATTTATTTTCTTGGTTATTCTGGTTATTTCATTTACATAAATGCATCCTAAAACCATATTACCCCTTTGGGGCAGTTAATGCACAAAGTTTACTGATATTGGGTCAAAGACGAGTGCCTGAAGCCCCATGTCTTATTCATAATCAGTACTGCTAAGCCAAAAACTATCTTTATCATCTTGTCCCACGTGCAGTGATATTTGGAATAAAGTATATGACCTTACCTAATTCCATCAAATTTCATCTTGATCTAGTTGTCCCAATCCTTTGTATTTGATGCAATCATTCAAGGTATTCATTAACTCCTCCAGCTCCATGATATCTAAAAATTTGTAAGGAACGATCCTTAGACCATGATCTGAGTCATTTATGAAAAGAATATCAGGGCATCTTGGGGGACACAGACTGAAGATAATATGAAAATCTCCTTATGCATTAGTTAATTCCCACTGTATCTGACATCTAGCCCAAATGTGCTCAGACCGTAGTTTACCTAAGTCACCTGGGTAGCTTAAAAATTCTCTGGGCTCACCTGTAGGGATTCTGATTCAATAGGTTTAGAATGAGGTCTAATTAAAACTAACATCCACAGAACTACATTTAGATTTAACTAAGTCTATATATTTCTCTTTATTGATTATAAATATATCAGAGAGGTCATGTCATACACATTGCTGAAGGCAAGATAAAATGTCTATTGAGTTTACTCCACCCACCACTTGGCTCTACGTTAAAGAAGAGAATAGAGTTAATGTGCAAGAAAACCCCTGTTGCCTTCTTATGAACAATGTTGCCTTTGTGTTCAAAAACCCTTTCCTAATAATCAATCCTAGAAGTTTATTTTCATACATTTTTATTTAATGACCAAATATCTGGAGGGGGGACTAGTATATGCCAAATATTATGCTAATCTATATTCCCACCTGTGGTAAGAGTTTTTCTTTGCACCCATGTTCACATTGGGTCTCATAATTCTTCCTTGTATTTAGTCTGATAAGATAGAATAAATATATTTGCATATTTTTAACTTATATTTTTATTATCTTCAATAATGAAGATAAATATTTTTCATATTTTTCTTGGGCCATTGCAAATTCCCCATTGATTCCCATATATAAGTTGCTGTGCTTATTTTTTCTAATAAACATGTAATTTATCACTGTTATATTTAATGTTATAGGGGTTGCAAATAGTTTTCTCCATTTTCTGTTTCTCTGTTCCCCTTTGTTGTCTTTTAACCTTTTTATGATTTTTCTCCTTTATAGAAAATATGTTTCAAATTCTTATGCAGACAAAGCCAACAATCTTTTCATTATGGTTTCTGCCATTGTTTGAAACCATGCTTTGAGGCGCCTGGGTGGCTCAGTTGGTTAGTCACCTGACTCTTGATTTCGGCTCAGGTCATGATCTCACGGTTTGTGAGATGGAGCTTTGCATCAGGCTGTGCATTGACATCTCAGAGCCTGCTTGGGATTCTCTTTCCCTGTCGCTCTCTGCTCCTCCCCGCCCTCTCAAAATAAATAAATCAACTTGAAAAAAAAAGAAACCGTGCTTTAAATATCTTCTTCCAAGATTATGTAAATATTCAATTATATTATCTTTAGAATATAATCTTTTATGTTTTATATATTTAAATTTTATATATCATTTTATCAGTTATATATTCCCATAATTCTTTAAAAATATAATCCTTCAAAAATCTGGATCAGGAATGTTAATTAGTATTGTTCAAATACTAAAAATTGAGGAATTGTGTAAATGTATCATAAGATGAGATTAGTTGATTATGTAGAACTTGCATGAGATAGAACATTGTGGCACATGAGATTTTGGTTTAAAGGGATATTTTCTTATATGAAATTATTCATAATTTAATGATCAGTGAAACAAAGCAAGACTACACATAGACACACACATTCATTCATGAAGTCCAAAGCTAAAACTATATGCTGTGTTGAATTCTATTAACTTTGAGGTAAATAGGAAAATATGGTAAAGTATCAACTATTTGGTTTTAGATGACTTGCATAATATTTGGAAGTTATTTAGAAATTTTTGTTTCCAAATATAACTGTGCTGCTATTTTGAGTCATCAGTACCCAAACCAAGTCAATAATATACTTGCCATAAATAAGCATGAGTTTAACTATTTCTAAGTGTCATATGCAAATATAAATATACTATCACGTTTTACTGATATGGGGTCAGCATGCTTCTGCACTTAAATTTCCACATTTAAATGACTTTTAATAGTCAATTAAAAACACAATTCTGGCATAAGAGTTTCAACAACATGAAGATGTTGGTGGCTTATTGTGTCGGGGGTCCCCAAGACCCCAGGTTTGATGATCTGCTGGGAGGACTCAGAAGACTCAGCACAAGGCCATACTCATGACTATGATTTATTACAGCAAAAATATCAAAGCAAAATCAAAGAAAAGACCAGAGGAATCATGAAAGCTTCGAAGAGTTTTCTCCCAGTGGAGTCACAAGAGAAGCACTTAATTCCCCAGCAACGCGCTGTGACAACACATGTAAAATGTTGTCTACCAACGAAGTTTATTAGAAACTCAGCACACGGGGTTTTTACTGGGGGCTGGTCACACAGGCCCCCTCTGCCTAGCATGTGCTGAAATTCCAGATTCCCAAAAGGAAAGCAAGCATTCAGCAGAAACCACATTGCTTGTACAAACTGTCTACGCACAGTGAGCCACTCTTATCAGTTCTGTGAATGGTGGCCATTTTCCAGAAATCCAAGTTTCCAGATGCCAGTCAAGTGCCAACTTGCAAATTGGCATTTCCAAGGATAGCAGTTTCTAGCCTGCTTTCTTAATTCTTTTCTGCACACATGGGTACAAGTTATCATGTTACCAGATATAGGAATCACATACACACACATTAGTCTCATTCATACCCAAATAAAGTTAAACAAAGAAAAGTAAATGCATGAAGTTTACCCTAAAATTCATTTTTATTGGGCCCCCAAATAAATTATTCCAGAAGTGACCAACTCAAAAGGGATCAGAAATTAAAATATCATAAAGTTTTTTTCTCAAGGGGTAAAATTAATGCACATTTGTCACAGAAAATGGGGAAAACTCAGAAAAATATTAAAGAAATAAGATTCACTAAAACCCTCAGTCGTAGATTTTACCATTGCTGACCTTTCCTATTCATGTACATCTATTAACGTAGTTGATACCATACTTACTATTAAATTTTATTTTAGTTACCTTCATTTCTCTATGTCACTAAAAGTTCCCACTAAACATTTTTCATTATGGAAAATATTTCATCCCTAGTTATAATTTTTAAAGCCTTCTCCTTTCTGTTGGATAGGTTGTTTCCTGTCATTAATATTTTTTTAACCCTCATAAAACCTTTCAATGGTTTCCAATTGCTCTTGGAATAAAGGTCAGAATCTTTAATATGGTCAACAAGGCCCCATGTGATCCGGCGCTCCCTTCCCTCTGCAACTCTAGTTTACTCTCTGTCTGCCCTCAGTTGCCATGGCCTTCCCGGAGTTCCTCAAATGTGCCACTGACTCCCACTTCATGGTTTACACATGTGTCGGTAGCCCCTACTTTCTATACTGTAATTAGCACAGTCATTTAATTAAGTTAAGTATGCACATTTTTAAAAATATGTATCTCCCATAATAGGCAGTAATCCCCATGAAGGCAGAGCATGTATCTGTCTTGCCCACTGATGTATTCCTTCCCAGTGCTAAACGTTATCCCTGGAATATACACATGCAAAAATAATTGTGGAATTAAAGAATAGATGCATAAATAATAGGATTCTACCTTTAAGTCAATTTTCAATCACTTAGTATATTTGATAACTTTGTTCATTGGATGCCCACATTTCTTGAATTATCATTAAATATTTCCTTTTTGTAGGATTTTCATTTCCTCATTATACTTCTTCATTATCTATTATGGTAAATAATTAAAACCATTTAATTCTGTACATATTCTTCTTATAGACCCTTTACTGAACTATTTTATTAATTCTAGTAATTTTTAGATGTATTGTGTAGATTTTTCTCCAAATCACAAAGACTATGACTTACACTTTAAGTAACACCGTTATATTTTATCACTTATTATATTATTCATATTCATTCCTGGTCGTTAGATTTCAATTTTGAATCAATACTATTTTGTATAGTATTTTTAAAATTTTCCTTATGGATGGGTTTTTTGCTTAATCTGTTTGTAAAAATCAATCTCTCTGTCTTTTAGCATGTGCTCTTTCGAACTTCTGGAGGCTTCATTATAGATAAAGGTGTTTACCTACAGATTTTATTTTTTAATCGGGATGTTGGGCTAAAACTGAGTGGAGAGAAAGGATTTTCTTCTTTGTAGAAGAACTGAGAGGTCTGGACTCTCTCCTAGGGCACCAGGTCAAAGACACTCCATTTGGGGGATGTGAGCCAGTTCCTACAACTTGGTAATAGGGTGAGGGTAACAAGATAGATGCCCTGGAGGGTCTAGGAAATGGAGAATAGGTTTAATTTATGAATCCTGGAAATAGTCATATCTGATACCCAGCATTTTCTTCTCTATACTGCATCTAGTATTATTTAGGTATCTCGTATTGTGAGTAGAGTTTTGTTTAAATGTTTCAGCCTCAGCTAACTTCTGGGTGCTAATCGATGGGCCTATCTCCCCATTTGGGTTGCAGCTCTCCAGAGTGAGCTGCAGTGGCCTTCGGAAGCCAGTTCAGAAATAATAAGAAGTTATTATCCAAAGATCAGAGATGCAGGCCAGAGGGAGGTCGCTGGCCCGAGCGTGCAGTGAAATCTAGGACTGATCTGGGAAACACTCAAATATTCTATAGAGAGTCCCAGAGACCTTGGGGAGGGGAAAATGAGAAAAGTCTAACTTTCCTGTGGCCAAACATAATGAGAGCTCAGATCCTTTCATTCAGAATTAGAGGGAAGTGCTAGTTCTGACAACTGGAGAGGTCAGCAACCCCTGGGTTACATACTAATAAATTCACTTAATAGGCAGTCAGTGAGACAGAAACTCCTTTTCCAGATGCTTTTGTAACTTCCTGCTACACAGCACTGTGATTACTGTTCTAAAGTTCTATTTCAAAATACATAATGTCAATTTTGTTTTGTTTTGATTTTTAAAAACACTGAATGTAGATGAAGCTACAACAAATGCAGCATCTTTATCTGGTACCACGAATAAAGAGCCACAGAATATTTGCATAATTTAACCTAGAAATTCTACTTAATGAAAACATCTTGAAATAATAAAAAATGTAAAGGAAGGCACAAAAAGGGGTTAACAAACAAAATAAACTTCA